AACAAACAGTGGGTGTAACACTCCTCGCCTTTGTGACAAATAAGATGTTTGTTAAAGAGGTATGGAGCTGCGTTACATGAAGTGGCTGCAATGGAATACATAAAAGTTCATTCCAAGCTGGAAAGAAAAAATAACTCAATGTGTCTCTTCTATAACACTTCAGCTTACAGATCGTCCAAGATATTATTAATAATATCTTCCATATCGCATTAAAATTTGAATGTTTTAACAAGTGTAAATCCATCAGTCTATCTATTTTCTAACTGCCTTATCAAGGACAGATAGCAATCTCACCTACACTATTTGGCTACATTTTTTTACGATTTTGACAGACTTCAGAATGCTTCAACTGATGATTGTAACAAAAATGTAACATAATGTGTACTGTGGTGAAAGAGCTACTGAGCACAGAATATCTTTCCACCTGTGAAAAGCTTTGCATATTTAGCTTATTCTTATTTGTGTAAAAACAGTAAATACCGAGGGAGTTTCAAAAATTAAAGAGAGATCACTCTCTTTAATTTTTGAAACACCCTGTCTCCAAAAATATATGTTTAATAAGAAATTTAAGGTTGAGAAAACAGTGACAAATCACCCCAAACAAAATACAATTTAAAAATACAAGCAGGTTGAAATTATTAGTTGTTATTAATAAATAATTTCACTTTGAACAAGTAAAACTCATGCCCTAAGCAGGATTCGAACCTCTGCTTCCAGCATGTGGGTCATACTCCAAAGCCATTATGTCAATGTGCCACTCGGCATCTTAAGTTGTAGCTGAAAAGGGCAGGCAAAATGTTGGAATATGGTAATACTTTGAGCTATATAAATATATTGGATCCTTAAATTAATATAATTTTAAAATTCTTTAGAAAGATAATTCCATATTATATTCCCTATTAAGTGGATTATAAAAATGACAGTTTTTTTACTACGATATCGAGCTGAAGTATTCATAGAAAAGGTTAAAACATTATAGCTTTTTATAAAATATACAAACTTAAAATAGTCAGAACGAACACGTTAAAACTTTTCCAAAATAACCCCAGTAAGTGATCGAGTAACTGACTTTGATGCATAAAATGTTTATGAAGAAAGTGGAATACTGTTGTGTATTTTTTATTTAAACAACCACAACCATCCATATACAGATTGTATGATATATTTATATTCTTAAATTAATATTGTTTATGATGTTCAGCATTGTTATGCTCCTCTTTTTTACCATGCATTTTGAATGGCTAGATCTGTACAAAAAAAACAGCATTTTATTCCAAACTGAGCACTCCTAACCAGTATTTACAAACATTTAGAAAAAACTACCAAGTTGTTTACTTAAATAAAGTTATATATAAAGTTCTTACAGTAAAAAAATATATCTAGGTGAAAGTGGGGATGTAGATCAAACAGTGAATCGAAAGCTCCCACATCATCATCAAGGATGCAGCCCATGCCTGTTCATGTAAGGACATATAATGTACAAAAGTACATATACTGTGCAAAATGTTCCCTATGTCATTGAAAGTCATATCAACTCCCATTGTTTAGCTGTAAGAGTTAACAAATGGCATTGTTTTTCCTAACGAAACCAAAATATGACAAATAAAAAAAAGGTTGGGACTTGCATAAAAAAGTCAAAAGGATCAGAACTCATTTAGAGCTAACAAAAAATAACGGAGTCACTGTTATTTCATCTGTAAAGTGAATGAAATGTACTTCTTTTCTGAAGAACAATTCCTGCTAATGAATGCAAGCAAGTATCTCATTGTCTCCAACCAATCTCATCAGATTTTTTCCAATTGGTTTTTGGTGGCACAAACATAGCATAAATGAATGAGAGCTGCTGTAGGGCTGAGTAGGGCTGGCATTGCCCAAAAAAGAATGCGCTATAACTCAAGAAAATAAGCTGCATGAACTCTACCTTTTAACAGCAAACACAATCACAAACATAGTACAAATAAATAAGACCAGTTTGGTTCTCCTAGGCTGTTGTAGTGGAGCTAAGTCATGTCCCACCCCGAAAAAAATAAACAAAATATAGCACAGAAATCAAATTAGCACAAATTCGACTTTCAATGGCACAAACTAGCAGAAATATAGTACACATGAATAAGATCGATTCATTTCTCTTGAAGCATTGTAAAGAAGTTACATCTCACTCCCAAAAAAGAAAGTGTTATATCTTATAAATGAAAACAGCATTAACGTTACATTCAATGGCACAGATTGGTACAAACGAACACGATGGGAGTCACTGTTTGTAGAGGAGACAACTTTAACCTCTTGTTGCCATGCTAGATATAATTACAGGCAACCAGGCCTATGATTGCCACCAGCATTTATATACAGTACATGACCCTAAGCACACTGGGATGTTATTTCTTTAATTAATGCATGAATCACAACTGTGTGGTAGCCATTTAAACATATTTGGGGTCCCTAATTTGCCCAGGTGTTTCCACTTTCTTGCACACTGCCTGTCACCATAAACCTAAATCTGACAATTGGTGTTGAGTGTGGATCTTTTTTGCAAACATAAAACATTAAAAGACAAATGTAATAAACTGTGTAAATGATATACAGACAGCTTGTTACATTACAATGGTTTATACTAAACCATTTAATGACATTGAAAAGCCTAAAGGTTTTGTCAGTATCCTGTCAGGTGATCACTCAGGGATTTGTAGCACACCACGTTCCATCTTATTTTTAAAATACCTTTAAACTATTTTAACAGTATGTCTTAGATTTATCTGAAAAACTGCAAGAACTCTTCAAAAGCTTGACAAGTTATTTTGAAGCTGTAGAAATTAAATCCAGATTCAACGCAGAATCTTTTTCTTTCTGAAAAATAAAACTTCAACAAAGCACATCCTATTTTGTCCAAACATATGTGCGTCGAGTTTTTTTCCCTTTGTGCTTTGTCTAGCAACTGATTTGCTGCCAAGAAAATACTGATGTTGCTAAATGTGACATTGTCCCAATGTTAAAGAAAATCCATTTGATTCTATTAGCTAACATTATAGTGCCTAGAAAAAATAAATACATTTGAAGTGAGGGAAATCCTGCAAACGCATATCGGAAAAATTGAACAGTTTAAAGCTTGGGCAAACTTTTAAGAAAAAAAAAACCTCAATACTGAGTGTTCTGCAACCTTGTCTAATGTGCCAATTTAGTGTGCTATCAATCTACAATAATATTTTTTAATTATTATAATCTGTGAAATGTTGCAGGTTGCAAGTAACACTAAAATTGTTAACTTTGTCTAGGTCTGACAGATAATAGGTAAAGATGAACCATTTTAAATGAAATGAAAAGCCCCATTACCCCTCTAAAGAGGGATTTAATGGTATCAATGAGTTGGGGGTAAAGAGGAAATGGAAAGGCAGGCTTTTTACAGCAGGCCTCACAAACAGAAATGAAAATGCATCCACTTCTTTGCATCCTGGTCGCCGTGCCCTTGAACAGAACCTTGGAACCTGTGCATTCTTTCTGATTGCCAACAGGTCTATGGAGAATATTCTGTATTTGTGAAAGATTATTTTAATTACTTGACGATTTATGCACCATCTGTGAGGGAGTATTTTTTCTCACTTTGGAATAACTATTTTAAATTAATGCAGTTTCCAAGTTTTTTCTAACTAAGCTGAAATCTTTTGGAGTTTCTGTATCTGACAATGCTGTTATAATGGCTTCTCTCTGGACAGATCCTTTTGGACAGCACAGTACAGCACTACCTGAAGACCTCTCAAGGCCTTACATTTTTTAAGTTGCAGTGGCTCTTGTCAACTACAGTACATACTGTTAAACCTAAAGCAGGTATTTCTAAGACCCACATTACTGTAAAATAACATCTATAATTCCATAATTCCATATTCTGTATACTCCCTTTTATTGGACTGATTCTAACCATATACTGTAGAAACACGTATAGTATTTCAACACCAAGGTTAAGAGATACTCACAGATACATGTAAACACAGACCAAGGATGGCCATTGGAGGAGGATGGCCCAAGGAGACCACTGGACCTAGGGATTTTGTTCTAGTTTATTACATTTCATCCTATGTTTAAAATTTTAAAATTTAAAAATCTTATCTGATCTTAAAAATCCACTTTCCTACAAACATTGGAGCCAAATTAGATCTGGTACAAAGGTTAAATGGAGATAGATTAATAAGTCCTTTAGGAATATTCAAGCTATAGATACGGCACACAAAAAAATGCCATTTTCCCAAACCCTAGAAAGAAGTAAAGCCTTACACACATACATTACTGGGCAAATTCAATATGCTAAATTCTTACAAACATATTCAAAATGAAGTAGATAGACAGAAGCAATCAGGACAACAAAAAGCACAGAAACTCTGTACTATAAAGTACACATAAGTTGTAGTAGCTAACTTGCATGCACATCTAAACTGATTAAAAGCAGGTGCAATGTCCTGTGACCCCTTTTATTAAAAAAGCTACCATGTAGCAGGAGTGGTTTATCTGAACATGGAACATGAAACACAGGAAATGTACTCAAGGAATAATAGGAAAAGAATTGTCCAGAAAGAGAAAAAAATAAAAGGCAACTGATTTTAAGTCTTACACTACTTCCAATACAAAGGTCAAATCCTTGCCAACACTTATATTTAAAGGTTGTGCCCCTTTTTAAGTTTTGAACATGTTTTGTCTAAAATCTGAACTTGAACCAGACTCAAGAAACATCAAGATTTATTCATTCATCCATCCATCTCTCCCTCCTTTCACGCTCTCCTATTAAATCCAAGCACAAAAATAATCTGCATGCTCAATAATAATAAATTTGAAATAGGAAGGGAAAAATAAAACATTGGATGGATTTAAAATAAATCTTTTCTGTGCCTTTGTGCCTTATTCTGGCTATGCTGACAACCCATACAAAAAGAGCTACATCACAAATCTGTTGTTTCTATAAATTCAGATTCACAACACACCAAAGCATTTTTCTATGAATATGTTTCCCTTCTTACCTTCCAGCAAACACTGCGGAACCTGCTGCTCCTCAGCTGCCCATTAATCCCCTTCTGTCGGATTCTAGCCAGGTAATTACAGTTTAAAAATAATTCATCCCATTCTTTTCTAGGGAAAAGGGAGAACAAAGACAACACAGTTACAAATAATGACAAAGGCTGGTATAATTTTTTTTTTTAGTTTTCCAAATTGGTGGCATTGTCTTAATGCAAGGTGGCTGTAACAAAATCTTAGCCATTCCACATTCAAATTTTATATTTGTGCTCTAGTTCCCAGAGAAATGTGCTGGTTCAGTCACTTCAAAACTACTTTTATCTTTCGAACTCGAAATTTTACGAATAGCTTCTAAATGTTCTTTTACACCATATATAAGTGGAAGAGATTGTATGTGAGTTTTTTAAATTGCCTTAAAACAAATTCTGTTTGCCTTAAAATAAATACGTGAGTAACACCAGAGCCTGGGTGATTTGCTGGACAAATGCAGCTTTCAACCAAATATTAAATATATATTCAGTCATATTCAGCATTGTCCCTAATTTACACTTTTTTAAACATTCCTCATACATAGCTATTATAACACTGAATGAATTACTTATAATTAATCAGAGAAGGTTATGGACAAGTAACTGGATGGTTTTTGGTTCAAATCGCAGGTGTTGCAATCAGTGATTTTATGTTTTCTATTTCTAATTCAGGAGGATCTGTAGAATTTTGTTTTCAGTGTAACATTACAGTGTTTTGCGTCAAGCAATGCCAAAAAATGTCAATTAAATACATTATGATTCCATATTGTAATAAGACAAGGTCCAAATGGGATGAATACTATGGAAGCTACTGTATAATGTAACCTGGGCTTAGAAAAAGTCTAAGAAATGCTGAATGAAAACTTAGGTGTATGACACGATTTTAAAAAAGTTTTAATTCATCTCATCCTCCTGTCTTCTCTTAACTAGGATGGTTTGGTTTCATTAAAAGGTGTCTCAACCCATTTCAAGTACTTAAATAGTGCAGAATGTGTCCCATCATTGCATGTTTCAGTCTGGATCAACATCACTGATCAATTATGACTGGGATTTCTTAAGCAGCAAGGCTCAAAATAGTTCATCCCTGCTTGCGGCAGGGTTGAGATTCGACTATAGGTTTTAAGGCGTCCAGGGAAACAGTGACCTCTGCAACTTTACAGATACTTGTAGCCTTGCAGAGATGTCAGTGAGGGATGAAACTCTCTTCTAAATGCTGCTGAACCTTCTGTTACTTAATTGCAGACTTGGTAGCTGCAGACTTTATATATGGGTGGATCACAGGAACCTGTCTGTACTTGCTTATACTCCCCTTGTGGGTTGAGTGAGCCAAAGTCACCCAGTAATATTTGTACATTCTTATGTTGAAAATGCAGACAAAACTGGTGATTACAGTTTGGGAAATTACATAATAAACAGTGATGTTTAAATATCTAGAAGAAAATATCAGAAATAACTGGCAGATGTCTTATGCTTGACCTGTCTGGTCCTAGACAACTGACTTTGAATTAAAAGAACAGTTTTCCCCCTTTCTCTAGGAATGATCAGAAACATTTTTAGGACTGCATGAGACAGGTTTAGGGTGTTGCTCAGTAAAGCATTTGTGCACTTGTACAAAAAAAAGAAAGAAATTTAATTCCCTGGGAACCTTTTGTCTTAGTTTTAATGTAAAGACAGATTATATATTGTTATAAAGTGTCACTACATCGTGACTGAAGAGGTTCAGGATAATACATTTACCATTACATTAATGGTATGTTTTTATGTTACAAAACTGCATCAGTAGTAAAATAAAAGGCTAAATAAAGTCACAAGGAAAATAGTCAAATATTTGTAACATCTCCCGGGCTGTATCATGTGCTGTAATTGATTTTAAAAACACAACCCTTTATGTACTATTTGCAGACATCCCATAACATGACATTGATTTTTTTTCAGGGAACAGAAAAGGAAGATCCGGCCTTCAGTCATACTGAGTTCAGGACTCCAAAGTGATTGAATTAAGGGAGTCCAAGGGGCAATCACAATATTTTCTTACCATAGCAATGTAACTGTTCTTGGTAAACCCAGGAGACTAAGGTACATTCCAAATGACTGCATGAGAGAGTCCAAAACCTTTTAATGAGCAATTCTGCTTCTTAAATCTTTATTGAGATTATATAGCATTCATTTCTAAAAGGCCCAGTTCAAACATAGGTCAATTACAAGTAAAAAAATAAATCCCGTGGCTCTCAGCAGACACTGGTCTGAATCAAAAACAACTCAGTTCTGAACAATGCAGCTAGGCAGAAATCAGAGAATTTGTAAATTTGGAATTTATCTTTTAATTCTGCTGTTTTGCAGTTGATGTAAAGTCAAAAGAACAAGGAGTTAATTAACAAAGGGACAGGACATGTATACTGATATATTAGTCAACTGTTTGATAAGACAATTACATCTCGAATAGAAGTATGGGATAACTTACATTATGATTGTTAGAGTGCCTGGCAAAGGTATCTACTGTAGATCCTTCTTATGGTGCCCCACTTTGTGATATTACAAAATAATGCACACTCATTTTAATAAATAATTTAATTATTCAAGGTCTGAAAGCGCAAACTGACTAAGTTCAGAAAATACCACAAGTACCTGGTGTAGAGAAAAAAACCTGAAATATGTTGACTGCATAAGTATTCAGATCTGTGAAAGTTTTATTCAAGCACACAGCAATGTCTCTGATATTCTTAAACTTTGTATAAATACTTTAGAGTACATCTAAACCTGTGCAATATGACATACAGCATTAAAGAAAATAGGTGCATACAAAGATAGCATACTGCATTTTTACAACTCCCTGCAACTGGGATTTCTTCAAATGCAGTTTATCAGAAAGGAAATATGCTACTAGTTGTTCTCCTATTCAGCTGACTTCCTTGCACATGATATCACCATCAATAAAAACAGGCAAATCTAAAAGCTTATATCAGCTCATAATAACCTAGTGATACTACTGTATTCAATAACAGACTTCATCTGGAAACAGACAAGCAGCAAACAACCTAAAACTTGTCTCCTCCTCATGTGCTCCCTAGGTGCCTGACACCTGTGCCTCATTAATGCACAAGTGGATTAGATCTGCTGGGAAAATAATTTAAAATGAATTGTTCTAAATAATTCACTAAATACTAAAAAGAGAGACTTCAACTTAGCCTTGATCTTAGAGATAATCCCTCATCACTGTTTAAACCTGTTGTTAAATTTCCAGTAATAAAATAAACATTATTGAAAATAATTTTAAACCTTAACCATTCTACTATATAGTGAAAGAGTACAGGTGTTGTGTAATACAAAACATATAGCCAATGCTCTCAAACCCAAGAGAAATCAGGATGTTTGATGTTTTCATAAGACATGTCTGTTTATTTCACTGGGGAAAATAAACATGTGGCCTAAGTACATGGCCTATTTTATAACCAATTAATATAAAGAAATAACAATCATTCAGCCAACCAGCTAGTCAAGCACTAAAGTACATTTAACAGTAAAAAAGGACTTTAAAGAACTTGAACCAGAATTGAAAGCAAACTGTACGTGTTTCTTAAAATCCTAAATACAAATGTGAGCTTTTAGCTGTCAATTGTATGATTAAAATACTAAGTAATATTCGAACAGATACCCCATGATATTAAGATTTAAAATACAGTAATAGCACAGAAATACAATTTAATGTATTTCCAAATGAATCAATACAACTTCTGTTGTTTTCCCCCAGGTTTTTTTAGGATTAAAATAATAAAATGGTTAAATAGCTTATATTAAAGCACAGCACAGCCCTCATGCAAAGTAATATGAGAATGTGATATCTAACTTATGTAGACTTGATATATAATGTTCCAGGGAAATCATACATATACGGTAATTTCTAATATTGCAATATCACCATAACAACAGTAAAAGCAACAATAAGAAATTATAGGTAAAATAATAATGAGGCAATAACTGCCTCTGCTAACCCAGTCTTCTTCAAAAACACAGATACATACATTCACATCCTGTTTATACTTCATTTCACAGTTATAAAGGACTGACTGCATGTGTTTACATGCTTCCAAACGGCCCAGTTTGAACTGTTTTGTGCAAAACTATATGAACATTTTTTTTTGTGATCTATTGTTACCACAAGTGTATTTTTTCATCTATATCAGTGTTTTCCCTTGAGTATTATTATTGTGGTTTAGAATAATGTCGGTGTTTAGAGTAACATTCACACACAAGACAATGTTTTGCACTTCATTTGAGAACATTTAACCACAAGAATTACTGCCACTGCTTCTTATTCAATAGGTCAACTCCTGTAATAAGAAATGTTAAGAAATGTGTATGCATATTTTTTTACACCAGCTGACATCTGATTGATTTTTGTCAATGTGAACCTTTCTATGAGTTTGGGAGAAAAAGTCTTGCTTTTGAAAATATGCCAATAAAATAACGATAAAAAACTCCAACAACACTACAGCTGAGTTACAGCCTGTCACTTGCAGGAGCAAGCTCCACAGTTTGTGGCAAGCATGCATTAATCTGCATGTGGGCTTGACCTGCCAACAATCAAATCCTTTTCAGCTTTTTACTCTTATAAATGACACACATTTTTTGAACTATTTCGATTAGTTAATTATGGGCAGAAAAAAGTATTAATTTTCTACACAAAATATAGAAAAATCACTAGACTTAGGCTTTCCACGGTCTCCTGGGACTTTCTGAATTTCTCTTACATTTGTGGGATCTGAAACTTTGTTGTTCTTTTTCATAAGGTGTGACATACTATGATTCAGAAGCTGCTATTAGACTATCTTGAAAATATTTCAGGTATAAAATGGTAACCGTTATTGCTTTAGGATCAGAACCTCACAACTAGAAAACATCAGGGGCATTAAATCAATAGTATAAAGTACTGTTGCACAATGGTAAAAGTTAGGCAACAAACATTTAGATATGTATTGTGTCCACACTGCATCACTATTTCATACACTGTAGGATTAGTGCACCACTTATTTCTCCAGCTAAATGGCAAAAGAAATAGGAATAGAAGTAGGAAAGCTTATTCTATATAAATCTAATTCTTAAAATCTGAAATGTAATCTAAATGCTGTAATAGTTTTTGGACACTGAAAACTTCACAGATAATGCATAGTGTATCTTTGAATTACTGTAGTGTATAGTGTACATTGTATTAACATAACAGACTTTTAATTACTGTAATAAGAGACAAAAAGTTAAGGATAGCCAGAAAAAGGAAGAAACTGAAAAATTTCAGGAAGCCATCCAACTGCCTACCAAGAAACTATGCTTGATATCTTGTTTTGCCATTTTAATAAAGTGAATTTCATCTAGTTCAATATGCAATCCCCCAAATGTTAAATTTTGTGCCTTAATAAGTAGGACTTCTTTTTTATTCCATTTAAATTGAGCTGCAGACAAAAAGCTATCTAATCAAACAAATTAGGAATTTACAAGGTAATAAATACATAAAGGAAGACATTTTGGATAATAAAAAACCTTAGTTTAATACACAGTTGCTGTGGAGACTTGAAATCCTAAGAAATCAACATCTTTAATTCCAGATCTCATCTCATTGTCTTAAGGGAATGGTTAGTGCTAAGACACATGGTATCTGATTAAAACCACTACAGTTTGTCCCAATTTGCTTCTTATGTACATTTCATATCTCACAGTCTACTATTCAAACTATTTTTTTACATAATGAGTTTGACAGTCTGTCAGAAATAAGGGACATAATACTTTATTTTATTTATGAAGAACATATGCAGTATTACACAGAATGGATAGGGAAGACCCAACATTTTACAAATTCATTTATAGTTTCACAAGACTGATGTATAGTTCTAAATAATAATTTCTGTTTAAATATTATTAGCATTTTGAGATGTAGCATAAAAATGTGTGTGTCCACTTATACACCTGTCATTTGTTTCTAAAGCAATGTTATTCAGGGATAACAGCAGGGAATTAAAAAGGCATAGTAAAGTGCTGATAACCTGGGAAAAAGATCCTGAGATCTCTCAGGACAAATGCAAATGCAGGAGACAATAGCAACACCACTGCTAGAAAAATGCAAAGCAAAGTCTGATGTACAAAATCTAAAAATCTGCCAAATGTCTGTGCAGCCTATTCTGCTCTCTGCTGCTCAGTTTTGGAGCCAGGTGTGTGTAACATTTTCAATTAAAATTCTTGTAAATGGAATATTTCTTTTTGTGCTCTAACAAAACAGCATGAATTGAAAGACAAAAAAGCAGAGGGAAAGAATAATGGGAAGACAATTCAGACAATGTTTGCTAACAAACTAGACAATAAACAATAAAAAATAAATCTATTTATATGTACTCACCTGTAGGAGATGAATGTACTGTCAGACTCTGAAAAGGTTATTGTTCCACTGCTCTCCGCAGATCCTCCTACAATTTACATTTATGGAAAGATTAAAACATTAATTGAAAGCTGAACTTTCATTTAATATATTGTACATGAATGCAACAGAAATAACACTGACTTAATATCATAAATATAAATTCATTATTTGTAGTCAAAGTAAAGTGGCTGTAGTTTGTGCTGCCCTTTACTTTCAGGAAGTGTCACATCACTTTGCAGAGAGCACTGCGCACAAATACAAGTTTTAAGCACTGATATTTGTGTTTTTCGAAAACAGAATTTTAAGGAAAACATTCAAGGAAATATTTAAGTTCAGTGACATACACCATGTATTATAGCCAAGTAGACAACTGAACTGTGAAAAACTAGAACTATGTGTCTGTATGCACATATTAATGAATACGGAACCACAAAAAACAATATAATAGTCTTTCTTGACCACAGTTCTGAGATGCCAATGAAGAAAAAGGAGCTGTAGAACAGGGTATAAACAACACCAGTCATTTATAGTCATGATAGTTTGGAGGCCTTGCTTTGACTTTGCTTGACTTTCGGACTTAGACAACAAAAGGGTTAAAGATTCCTCATTAAATAAAACAACATAAACATTTTAATAGTATGAAGCCCACGAGAGAGAGAGAGAGAATCATTTCCAACAGATTTGTGTGCTTAGGATTTTCCTTAAGCTATTATATGTCATTTTCAGGTGATTTGAAGGTGTGTATTTAAATATATACTAACATGTCTCGATAAACATTCTTTATTGCTACTTGAGGGCTCTTCTGTACTTTGGTAAATACTCTAAGCACATATTTCAGTTCTTCTTTCATAATTTTAGTTCAAACTCTGTTTAATGGTTTATGTTAAATGTCAATTATAACCTAAAATTATCATATTATATTACAAATTCAGACACTAAGGGAACTCAGCAAAAGTATAGTCTTTTGGATTGCTATCTGAGACATTGCTCATTTTTATAATTTGAATCCAGGTGAAAATTTTCAGGACAATTTTATTCAGTAACACTTTTGTAACATTAGGGGGTGCTGTATATATTTTTAAACATCTCAAAACACACTGATTTGTTCAGAAGTGAAACAAAGCAAATGGCAATAAAGTTTAATCATTGGCAGATTGAAGAAAATTTAAAATACCGTTTCACTTTCAGACTAATAAATGAGGATTCCAAAGACAATATTCCAGAAAGAAAGAAAAAACATCAGCGAAAAATACTGAAGACAAAGGACTAATTCCTCAGTGCATTAAATACATTAAAGAACACCAGACTAAGAAACAAAGTTACTGATGGTTGTGCTTCAGCAAAAATTAATGCCTGGATTTGTTTATGTTATATCCTCTAAGTATCTATGGAGTTGTAGGCATCAATGTCGAGCTCCTGGAATCTCTATTGCTATTTTCTGGACCGAATCAAAAACATATTCAAGAAATTCCAATTTTTTGTGAACAAAAACATATGATCAACTAAGATGCATGATAGGATAAAAATATTAAACTAAAAGAATTAGTGAACAATATTGTTTCTAGTATGTTTGTCCATATATGCATACTATACAACTGTGTGCATAGTTTATATATATACTGTAAACACAATTTGGAGATGACAGTAAGAAAATATAGATTCAAGAAGTTGATACACCACATTTTAGGTACAAAAAAGAAGCTTAACTTGAAGCATTTGTCAACATGTACACTGTAAGATTAGAGGTAGTTGTGGCAGGTAAATATAACGTCTTTCATAAAATATAGTAAAATCTTATTCCCATCTTATTCCCATCATAATAAGATTCATTATTTTATGTTATAATACATATTATTAGATTTATTACACTGAACAATATCAGATGTGGAGATCCATAAATTACATACAAAAACAACTGCTTGCATGTTTGGCCTGTTATTTAAACCAACACTTTCTGGTATTTTTTTCTTGTGCCCGATCCTCAAAGTAAAGTAATAAAAGGAAATATTGGCTTTAATTAGTAGTTTTAAGTTAAAGAGTGTAAGATATTCCTCTGGAATTAAAAATAATTTGAAGGCATTACATCACCAGCCTTGACCTAGTAATCAGGCATTTAGGTCAGCATATTAATATTGTATTTCCCCTTAAATAAATTACAAGTAATATGCATGCACATGCACACAAACTGCAATATTCTAACTATAGCTTATGAATAATGGAAAAGAGTGCATTTTTTTGTTAAATAAAAAAAACTTTTTTATTCTATTATAGTCAATAAATCAAAAGCATTTTCTCTAAAAAACAGATAAGTATGTGTTATTGTACTGAGAGGCCAGCTGTTTCTAATAATTTAATGAAGTTTTACAAGCAATATAAAGAGACAAAACAGATGTGGCATTAAGAATTATAAAGTTGGTAAAACTTTTTAACAAGTGAAATATATTTCAACACTGCAACAGCAGAACGAAGTATAAAAGGAATTTACACATACTTCAATTCCAAACCTATCAATCAAACCCATGTTATTCCTTTGGGAGCTTATTTACATGCATATTTATCAGCCTCACATGCTAATTCCCTGCTGTTTTATGCCTGCGAGGCATGTTTATGACTCATAATTGTTGATCTCCTTTGATATATTTCTCTCAAGTAAGACATCATTTGGTTTTGTGGTCTAAAGTCAATGAGGCAAGATGACCCACCCTTTCAAACGGAATTTACAGTTCAATATCTATCATGACCTATTGAGCATCTAACATTTAGCATGTGTTTTTGAATTCTAAAGATTCAAATTAGGAGCACTGCAAATACATCTTTGTTATTGATGGTGGCTTATTGTAATAGGGCAATAATAGAGGGATAAGAAAATTAAAAAGAATGAAACGTACACAGCTAAAAACGATATGCATAATAAAATAAGATATGTGTATAAGTATGCTGTGTTACATACAGTATGTACATATGAATTAAATAAGCAGCATTGGAACAGACGTAGCAACAAAGTAGTGATACATCACCTATTAAAAAGAGCCAGAAGGAAACAAAGCAGGTACCTTGGCCTTTTGCATCATGTAGGGTTGGATACCAGCAGAAAATATATTTGCACAAACAATGCTATTTTAAAACACCACCCACTGTTTTCATTGTGAGGTCAAGACAGTCATATAATACCTTTTGTCAAATTAAATTAAATGAATTAAAATGTCACCAAAACATCATCGTAGATAGATACATCTTTTCATCCCTTTTCAATAACTGGACATCAAGCAAATAGAAAGATTATATTTAAAGTGTGTACTCTGCTTCAGCAACACACCATGCCCTTAAATAACTCCAGGTAATAATTAATTCTGAGGTCAAAAGGCTAACAATGGAAAAACTGGTGAGACTCAATATTAAAAGAAACAAAAAATGTTAGGGCATGTGTCCATTATCTCTTTTCTAACATACTGTACACCCATTCCCAAAACCGTACTTCAATATGGAAGTAAGTTAACCGCAAGTGCTCAAGAAGGAGATAAGGTCCCTCTCATTTAAAACAAAAATCACAAAAAGTGAGCAAACAGTCCAGCTAAAGTATGACTACTTATAATTATCCAATAGTTATAAGAATCTATATAATTAAGTACCATACCTTTCAATAAATTAATGTACATCAGTATGCAAAGAAAACCTACTGAGGAAACACCAATAACAGAAACCAAGAATTCAATGTAAAGAGGATTTAATAATATACAGCTTCAGTATGTTGCTTGCAACATCACAGCAAATTCCTTATTCAGAACATTCTATTACCTGGCTAATCTAAGTAACAGTTGTAACTGAAACTATATTTATACCTAAAGATATATGTAGGTTTGAAAAAACGATTTTAATAGTTATAAAATAGTTTAGAGGCCTAAAAGATTCATTTTTTAACCTAACAATTGTTTTTAACTATAAGTACTTTGCAAAACAGAGCAGAGCAGAGCATTATGGAATTATGTTTAGGAGTTTATGTAGTACTGGATTGGATGTGTAGTACATACTTTTTTAAAATAACTAAACATACAACCTTTACATTATGTTTTTTGTGTGAACACCAAATTGATACTTTCAAGTTAAATTACTGTGGTAAGTTATATTTTACCATTAAGTACATTATTTTCAGATTTTAGAAACGTCTTCAGCAGGATTACTTTACATTGCGCTAACAGCCATGCATGCACCTTATAGTTTGGACTTAAATACCAGCCGCTAAGCAAGGCTGGGTCTAGAATTGGGAGACATCCAAGAAAAACCAGGCTGGAGCTACTGCATAAATGATGTACTGTCTGCAGACCAGAAGATGGTTCCTTTCTCCTGGTGAACAATTGACAAAACAGTGCACAATGACAGCGGACACTATGCAGTAGAAATGTGGTTCTCAAACTGTGGAGCGCCCCCAGGTGATATGCCAGATGACCCTGGAAATTTGTTGTGTGCACTAAAAAATTGGGAGGGGTTTTCATATTTTCTATTTTTATAAAATAAGTTTATGTGTCAAATACGCAGCCTATGTACATAGCTACGAAGATACCAAGTCGCCAATTGTATTAAAAGAAGTTATCTTTAGTAAAGAGGGAGGCAGGAGAATGTGCGTGTTTTTGGAACACTACCCATCTTGTAAGCACAAGAAAGTGTGACAGATAACAGAAAACAACAAAAAAAGGACTGTTCTAGGTTAATTTGAGAAAGATATGCTGAGCATCTCTGTGTTTTGCTCTCATTTGCATGAAATAAAAACTTAACTTCTGAGATGGACTCCTAACATTTAAGAGGAAACTGAGAAAAAAATTCTTCAACAGCACCATATTCGCTTACAGAACAATTGATAGAAAATTAATACCTTGCAAAAATCAAGTATTATGTAATGGCTGAAAGGAATAGACGCCAAGAGTACTGATCTTTCTGTTATGTAAGCCGCTACCAGCAAGAACTACAGAAGAGCACATATTTCAGCTTCTGAATGAATTGCATCAACTGGAAAAAATGCAACGGAGTTTGTACAGATGGTGCTAGAGCGAT